TCTGCTTCCAGTGAATCTAGAAACGTGTCAGCCAGTTTTCTGGAGTTTCTAAAACTTTCCTTTGACACTGGCAGCCTTCTCTTGGCCCTGGCCTAGCCCACCTAACGTCTTTTGTGTGTTGCTTTAACTCTCAATCCACACAGTAATGAAGCTGGGAAACTAGTGTTAACTGGTGGCTATCCAGGCAGCTTTATCTCTTTATGATCACCTTTCAATAGCAACAGACCAGTGAGAAAACATTCAAAAAGCTCAAATGGTGTGAATCAGGATTGGAAAATACATCGGGGGCAAATGGGTAATTGCGTTCTCCTGGTATGTCACAAATAGAAAAAAACTGCTCTTTCACATTAATATAGACCTTATTATTTATAGTTAGTCAGGCATCTAAAATGTAATATATACAGTTTGTGCTGTTGGTAAAATTTACAACAGAGGTAATAACTGATTAACTTTTCAACAAATGCACAAACACATAAAGAAAGATGTATTTACGTAGCACACAGGGCAGACATGGTTTCATCTCATTTGGAAGTCATTCCCTCTAACAATGCATTACTCCCTTAACACTATCACCCTCAATAGTATAGCAGTCCGTCCGTATCGTTCCCTTGACAATGCAGTGCTCCCTCAGAACTGTCCTTCAGACAATGTAGTACCTTCTAACTACTGTCCTTTTAACAGTGTAACTTGACCACAGAACTGTCCTTCTAACAGTACAGGGCTCCGACAGTACTGTCTCCTCAACAATGCACAGCTCCCTCTGTACGGTTAGCTGGTCATTGCAGAGCTCACTCAGAAACAGCCTTTGGATGCTGCACTGCTCCCCCAGCACTGTCCTTCAGATAGTGCAGGGATCCCTCGAAACTGCTCCTTCGACAGTGCAGGGCTCTGCCTGAATTGCTCTTCAGATGCTGCACTGCTCCCTCGGAACTGTCTGTCAGACAATGCAGGGCTCCCTTGGAATAGTTGTTGAGATGGTGCAGGGATCCATCAGAACTGTCCTCTTGATCGTGCAGTGCCTTCTAAGTACTGTCCTTTTACCAGTGTGATGTGACTGCAGAACAATCCTTCCAATGGTTCAGGACTCTAAATGTACTATCTACTCAACAGTGCAGGGCTCCCTCAGCACTGCCCCTCCAACAGTGCAGGGC